CCTGCCCATGTGATGAGCACATTGATTTGGGGTCAATTTAACAGCTGAAAAAATCAAAGAGTTTCGGAACTCAATACCTTCTCTAATTGAATACATACAGTACATAAGCTGCTAGCTGATAAAATACCGAAATACCTCACCCCTGTCTGTCTGTCTATCTGCCTATCTGTCTGTTTACCTGTCTGTCTGTCTGTCTGTCTGTCTGTCCGTACGTCCGTCCGTCTGTCTGTCTGTCTGTCTGTCTGTCTGTCTGTCTGTCTGTCTGTCTGTCGGTCTGTCTGTTAAACACACATCTGTGTTAGTTCCTGAGGAGGATATCATATCTAATCCCATTAGAATCGTTCACGTCTGATTCATTTCTCTGTGGAGGGTGGGGAAAGTACCTACCCAGAACCTGTGAGACGAACTGATTTGTGATTAGTCACTGTCGATCAGTTTATTCAGGGACTCGGTGATTAGTCAGCCAAGTAGATTGCCTATGACGTTCCAGGTTTGATATTCATTGCGACTGGTGAATTTTCACTTCTCTAATGGTGGTATCCATCACGATGGAAATAAGTGTAGATCACTCACCACGATATTCAGTTTCAACTTCTTTCCTCGATGAGCTGCAGATATCATCCAGTGTGAATCGGATTTTCCCATCAAAACGGTTTACCTTCTTTAAATTTCGAATTTCTTATTCTGTCAGAGTACCTGAGAAGTATGTGTCGATTCTTAAAGAGTTGTATCGTCATACCTCAGATCAGACCGCTTCCCCCTTCCTGAAAGTTGTATCTTTGTATATTCAATAATAAAAAGAGGTAAAAAAGAGAAAAGGGTTAGGGCCTATGGCCCACTTTCTTCACCCTTTCCGTCTCTAGTGGAGTTCGATAAGGTCACCCTATATCCCCATTCCTTTTCAACTTTGTCACAAAGGATGTTCTACAGAATGCTTTTTTCGGTGGAGTCGAACTCTTCCCAAGGAGCAGAGTCCTTGATTTAGAATATGCCGATGACATCGCCTTGCTGGGCAACAAGACACAGACAGTCGAAGACGCTTTGAACCGATTAGAGATCGAGGTATCCAGATATGGCATGTGTTTTGCACCGTCCAATTGCAAAGTGCTTGTTCAAGACTGACAGGGGCCTGTGCCTGAACTCACCCTTTGTGGTGATCAGCTGAAAGTAGTTGAGAGCTTTAAGTACTTCGGGAGCTCGGTCGCAGTTGGTGTTGGTTTTGGGAAGGAGATCACATCACGAATAGCAAAACCTAAAGCAGCTTTCACCAACCTGGGATACCTGTGGCGCTGCCATGACATCCAACTGTCCCTTAGGGAAAGGTATACATCGCCGCGGTTCATAGCGTTCTCCTTTATGGTTGCGAGACTTGGCCCCTCTGCGTTGAGGATGCTAATCGACTTTCTGTATTTGACCACTGATGTCTCCGAAGCATTACTCGTGTCTGGTGGGAGCACCGGTTGAGTAATGACGAGGTTGGTCATCGTGTGTTGGGTGTGGATGGTCGTTCTCTAACGGAAGTAATCGCTCTACACCGCCTCCGATAGCTTAGTCTCGTTTTGCGTATGCCTGCCCATCGGCTACCTTTCCGTTCTCTCTTCACACGTGCCGGGCAAGATTGGAAGAAGCGACGCGGCGGTCAGACCATGACATGGGCTAGAGGCATGAAGAAGCTGGATTCAGATTTGGCTTCGGTTGGTGCTGCTCACCTTCCAGGTTGGGGCCCAAGGGATGAGAATTGTCGTTGGTTAGAGACGCTGAGAGATATGGCCCAGAATAGAAGTCAGTGGTGCGAATGCTGTACGGTCTGTCTGTCGAAACCCCGTGCCCCGTAAACACAACACAAAATTATCGAAAGTGTACGATGAAACACACAAAAATTTGCTATCCCAGTTATCTTTCATGCTCCCCTGTTTAATTATTTCATCTTTTTTCCACTCTGGTCTGTACCCCAGTCCACCTATCCCCTATTATTATTACTATTATTATTATTGTAGTTACTGTTGTAATTTTGGTCACATGCTTGTCTACAAGACGATGTGAAATACATTTTTTCCGATTGTTTCTCTCATATAATAGACCCATGTGAATATGAGTGAATTTGCATATGACACAATATTCTGTCTGATCCGATAAGAGAAAGTAGTGTCTCACGTGAACAAAGAATTTTCCATTTTCCATGATTTTTCTCCATTTTACTTTTTAAATCGTGTGTGCAAATCTTCCTAACTTTTGTTTTTAATAAATAGCATGTAACTTCTTAATTTCAATCTCAAAACCTGCATGACACAATTTCCCGATTATCCATCATCCAATTGGATTACACATATTTTACGCGTGAACTGTCAACTTTTGCCACGGATACCAAAACATGCCAGATTTACTCCTAGCGGTATCTAATTTAATGGCAGACCTCTTTGGTCAGCTGTTTACTTAAATTTTAGTCAGGTACATACTTTCTAAATAGTGAAAAATAATATAGCTTTTACGGACATGCAACCAAGGACGAGTAGTGGTAGATTTGATTCGACCTGATTGGGTTTCATCATTAGTGCAAGTCTATCCACCCAATTGAGGATCGAACCAGGGACCTCACGGTTGGAGCTCAGGCGTACGATCCACGTAACCACCAGAGGCAGCTGATCAGGCTATTTTCCTTCTCGCCTACACACTATATGGCACACCTTCGTATCACACCGGGCTCATATTAGCCCTTAACTTCAGAGATATGAATCGGTTGGAAACATTCTGAACCTAAATGTTTGCTGTTGATTTCACCCAACGAGTGCAAGCACACTCCCCATATCACTGGACTTTTCTGACTACTTTCCACGGAATCCATGTTGTGAGCAGATCACATGAAAACTCAGCTCCAATTGCAAACCATACGAAAGCAAGTTAATGATTTTCCACACGGCAGTAATCTAAAAGCCCGAGTTAGACTAGAATCCTAACGTTAGTTAAAATCAAACCAGTACAGTATCTCCAAGTGGGAATGCGAAGTAGACATGGAGTATACCTTACCATTAGTCCTTTTTATAACACTCTTCTCTCCTGCAACTAATCGCATTCACTTGAGATATTGTATTTAATTTCTGTAGAATGTTTTTCGTCGTGTGATAAACAAATACATTTGGAAAAACTGAAAACCGATGGGAATGGAGAGAACTGTGCCCAAATGCATGCGACTAGTTGTACTGTGCCAATAGTTCATCGATTCCACTGGGGATCGAACCAGGGTACAGGTGATCTGTTCCGTACTAAGTATGATTAATTTGAGCCAACGTAGTTACCACTTTATATTTCAGAGAACAGCAGAAAAGGGAACAATTTTGTCCCGAGTTGTAGACTGAGTAGACAGTAAACTCATCTCATTCCCCGAGTGTAATGGCCCTGTCATACTTTATCCCCCTGTTTCCTAAACATCAATATATTTTACTACTACTACTAATCCCTAAACTGTGTTTATTTTTGTTGTCATCCTTTATAAACGCAAGTTGCAGCCATTTTGGGCCGAGTTACACCAATTGAGGAAGGGGATAGCTAAACGGAATGGGCATTGCCTGTGGAGGCAGTTGTATAAGAACGTCATCGAACGCATTTCATCACGAAGGTTACTTCAGCCTTATCCCACCCACTTAGAGTCCTCACGATATGTGCACTTGAAATCCAAATATATTAGGTGCTAGCATTGCTTGGTGTCAATAGTGACTGTTATCTGCGCATAAGTATTTTTACCTTTATTAAGGATATATAGATCAAAATAAACTGAAACGAGAAAATGGAAATGATGATGATGATGATGATGATGATGATGATGATGATGATGAGATCATTGGATTATCGGGTATTGGGCAATGTTTGCTGATTGCTTTTCAGTAAGAGTTTATGTAGTTAACTCATTAATAGTGTATTTTATTATTGCTTGAAGAAGTGGGACCATTGTGGATAGATGTACCAAAGTTCCATAGGAAATTTTGATCACTAATCTTCACAGTTTGTTTACTACACTCTACGGCTGCATTTTTTGTGAACAAACACTACTTGGGATGAATATGGTAAGCATTTTTTTTCAATTCGGATGCATCTGATCAGATCCCATGAATTTGTTCATAAAATGGTGTGGCTCAATGCTGATGGAGAAAACCAATTTTTGTGGCCTCGTAGGTTTGACTTTTTTATTTCAATCACCCAAATGGACGAACGATCAATTTCCTTGAATGGTCAAAATGTATCTGGCCTCATACTAGTAGCAGTATTCGTCTTGATTTAAATGGCTCGGAAATTGATGAGAAGTGTTTTGACAAACAATTCAGAAATTCCAAGATACTAATAGATACTGATAGTGGTGGCCTTCACAAATGCTCACTGTAGGCAATGAAGTACAGTGACACAGTCATTGGCTGTGTACTATTAATCCATTCAATCCTATTGAACGTGCCCAACTGTGCCTGGTAGTGGTGAATTAGCCATGATTTGCCCAATCTTCGCCAAGTGCTGAAACTAACAAATTATTTGTGGCAAACTTACCTACTGAAAGAAAATTTGGAGAAACAATATCAACATTAGCAACGGTGAAAACCAGTCGACCAGTTGCGTTTTGGCGCCCGGGTTATCAGAAGTGAATTGTAGCGAGCAATACTTTTTCTGATTCTGATAGTCTAGTTTAGAGCCATTGTCAGAATAATTACATCACGTCAAAGATCAACCGTCAAAATAGACCAATCCTTGTCAAATTCAACCCACTCTATTCTGAAGATTATTGTATTGGAGACAAAAGATTGCATCATCGATCGATCACATGTTCCACAAGTATTTCTATGCTTTTTCTAACTGTCAGTCTGTTTTGCGTAAATAGTTCCCGATTTTCGGGTCGTAGCCCAACAGGTCACTAGTAGTGGTTAGGTAGAGAAAACGAGTGAAATGAGTTTGATTCATAAGAACTGACTTGTGCGGGATTCCCACTTATTTCTCCCTTATTGTTTCTCCCTTATTTAGATTACACACTTTGTTGCGAAGAAACGATTGGTGAACAACTAACGGATACGTATGATCAATACAAAAATTTCCTAATTTCTCCGACATAAGATGTTTCACATATTTATTCCACTTTTTCATCCATTAGGCGAGACAACACATGATGCCCGTGGTTGATGGATAACTTATTATCATCATTATTGTCATCATCAATACCAACATCATCCCACTCATCATCATCATCATCATCATTGTACAGCAAAATACAGTGAGGCGAACCTCCCCGATCACTTTTAAACTCGCAATGCATACAAGGTTAGTCGTAATATTTAAAGTTAACCTCTATGGTCAACACACAGAGAGTGCACAATCGAACTCTGCATACGTACAATTTCAGTCATTCAGGTCTGATAAGAAATAACAACAAGAACGCTACTGCTCTCGGCTCGCTGCTGTATCCTTCAATATCTAACCAATCAGGTACAATCTTTCGGGCCCCAACTTAGTTGGAACTAACCCCGCTACCTTCATTCACATAAAATCCTCAATTAAAGTTTTGTAATGACGGTGACCAGTATTTTTAAAGACAGATCTGTGATATCAACAATACAGTCGGCCATTATGAAGACAATAGACAAGGTATG